AATAAAAATTTTATTGGTGGAATTGGATAAAGGAGGAAGTTAATTTGAAATTGGAACTTGGGCCTTACTACTTAAACATGGGCCGGGCTCATTTTTTGGTCGAGTTAGCCCAGCCCAATAATGAGGCCCGACTTTCCAGTTTCCGCTCTACTCCCCTCCAATTTCATCGTCGTTCTTCATCCAGATTTGAGCGGTTCGCTCTGTTTTCTCTCTCTCTCAGATACCGGAGAGAGGAAAATCAGCCATGGTGAAGCTATTCTCCCTTTGCATCTCCTTCTTTCTTCTCTCTCTCCTCTTTCTCTCTCTTTCACCTTCTTATGTTCTTGCTGATCCCCACTTCGAAGGATTCGAACCAGAAATCGACGACCTCGAAGATGACGATCTTTCTCTCCCCCTCACTGATCTTCCCCTCCGTTCCTCTCTTCTCACCAAGTCGGACCCTGAACCTGCTGGAATTTCTTCACCGGATCGTGATTCTGATGTACCGGATCCGGTGGACGAGCCGTTAGATCCTCAATCTCCACCCTCCGTCTCCGATTCTCCGAAGCCGTCTCCGACCAGCTTCAGTTACTGGGACGAGGATGAATTCGAAGGTTTGCCGATTGAACAACCACAAGAACCGGCACAACAAAGCTCCAAATCCGCTGAGGATTCAGCCACCACCGATCAGAACTCTGATTCAAAACCTAACTCTCCGATTCCCAAACCTGCGAATGTTTCGAAGTCGTATACTGTTGAAATTGTTTGTGGATCTTTCTTGGTGATTTTTGTGATCAACTATTTTACTGGAAAGCGTGAGAACGAGAACGTCGCTCTATCGTGGGCTTCGAAATTTGCGACTAAGGACTCCATTTTTGAGCGGAACTTTAGTCTGTTGGGTGTGGGGGAAGGTGAGGACTCGCCTTTGCTGTTGAAAGAGGGACAGAATATCTTCAAATTCTATGCTAGCGGCCGGAGGTATTGCCAAGGGTTGTTGGCGACAATGGAGTTGAAGAGCCGACACGATTTGATCTCGAGGTTGTATAACATGGTGGTGCCTTGTAAGGACGAAATTAGCTTCGAGGTCTATATGAATGACGATGCAATGGATCATATAATCTTTGCCGTGGCGAGGAAGAAAGCTGCAAAAGGAATGCAAAAGGATTTGAACGATTTGCAAAGATTTGCCGGGATTTTGGCGCCTCCCAGTGGCAGAAAATGGGTTCCTGAAGAGTTGAGTGTAATTTCAGAATCTAAGGAAGTTGCTGCTGATTTGATTACGGAGACCGTTCTTGACCAGGTTGGTAATTTGTTATTCCACTGTTTTAGGTGACTTCCATTATGATTTTTTTGTTCTGAATAGAGAACATTTTGCTGAATGGGTGCTGCTAAGTCCCTTGATGTACAGTCATTTATACTTTATCTTATCTGGTGATCTCGCCTTTATAATGTAATCTTTCTGTCTGTTTTCATGATATGGTAGTTTTTGTTGATACATTGTACATTTGCTTATGGTATTATGCAACTGAATCTTTTATTGTTCTATTTTGGAAGTAGAGTGGAGATTCCGAATTTGTCTCCCCTATGGTGGCAAAATTGACTCCGATTCTACTACTAATAAGATCTTTGATCTTCTAAGTCAGACCAAAGTTTATTGCCAATGTTTTTCACTAGCTGGGATCCATGTTCCGAAATGAAACATGCAAGGTGGGGTGGAGCCGGGTGCCTTCAGGTGTGCGGTATGAACCTCGTTGAGTGTGGGACGTTGTGGGGATACCTCCCATCCTTGGGCCAACCCTATGTTCAAGGCGGCGTGGTAGCGGAACGTGCACGGTGTGGCATTGTCGGATGCCTTTGGGCGTGCGACGTGAGCCTCGTCGAGCACGGAATGTTGCGATGTTGCCTTCTAACTTGGGCTGGTTTGAGGATGGTTGAAGCTGGTACGACGACGAAGAATCAAGTCGTATGAATCAGCTCACCAGCATCGAGGCATGTTATTACAGCCACTTATGCCACTGCCCCTTCAACGTCCATGAGATTTTTATTCATAGCTTTAATTGATTGATCATTGGGTTTAGACTCTTGATTCTATAGGCATTTTTTCTTGTAAATCTTCTTTTTCCCATGGATTTTGTTTCGGAGGTTTGCATCAACCTTTCTTCAAAGCTTTGTAGGAATTCATATGAGGATTAGAACTATTTGTTTTCGCAATGCCTTTTGTCGACTTTTATTGGGCATCCTTTTGATGTCAGTTTGACCCGAGTCGAGAGATTGGGAACGCCATATTTAAGATTCTCTGCATGAGAAGAGAGGGAGGATTCTGTGGCAAGCCTGTTTTGCTGCAGTGCTTTAGTTCCTTTTGGTTAAAGTGGAATCTCGACGTTTCTTAGGATAAGAAACTTCGTCGTGGGAGGAGGGTTGAAGTACTGTACACCATAATGCTTTCCTATGGGTGTTGAAGTCTCCGTTGTGCTCATTCATTTTGTGATTTTTGTTTTCGGCCCTTCCTTTCGTGACTTTGGGATTTCGTTCCCTCGGAGTTGTGCTGTTAGCAACAACTAAAAGGGGTTAACTGTTGAAAGTCTTTGGGACTTTTGCCCTTTCCAATGGAACATCACATCCAAAATGGAGTCTGCTTGAGGTAGAGTGAGACTATAGGGTTCTGATTGGGGCTCCAATCAGTCAGCGTGCAGATAGAAGAGTATGGAAGAATTAGAACTCAGGATGGTATGCTGCCTTTATTTTCTTTGGGTGCCTTGGAAACGTTTATTTACTCCTCGAGCGGTTGTAACTGTATACTGATTTTAACTTTCAGTAAGCTTCTACTTCATTTGTTGTGTTTTGGCTCATTCCCCAGTGATGCATATTCTGTGTTGAAGCAAAAACCTTTTGGGCGTAGGGAAAATACAAAGAAAAGGGTGTTTCCGACGTGCGATATCTGATTGTTTGTTCCTTATCGAACGCCCTCATGCCCAATTAACATGACATAACCAAAACATCCAGTAAATTTCGTTAGTTGATTTCTGCAGGTTTTTGGTGAAAAATCTTTTGAGAAATTTGGGAAGTACTTCATCTCGATGCACTTCTCAGATCAGCATCCGGGCATGCACAAGAAGATGCTGTTGTTCAAATTCGCTCTCCCAGATGCCAACAACATGGCAGATATTTCTCGTCTGGTCGCACTTGTGCCCTATTATATTGACGCCATTGGACGCTACAAGCTCAGTTCACAGGTAATGTTCATAGATATTTATTCAATACAATTTGAACATATTAACTTTGTTCAAAAGTTTCTAAATTCTAATTGTTGGTCATGCAGGCCCGCTCGAAAGCTGAAGCTGCCAGGTCCAAGGCTGCTCAAGAGGCATACAAAGAGCTTCAAAATGCTAGGCAAGAAGCCCTGCAGAAGAGGAAGGCAGAGAAGAAGAAACTGATGGAAGAGGCTGAAGCCAAGTTAGGTGCTGAGGCTCTTCGACGGAAAGAGGCGAAAGATCGCGCCAAGCAGATGAAGAAAGCAATGCCAAAGATAAAGATGAGCCGCACTCGGTAACCGTAACGACTCGAATTCTTCACCTGGTTTTCTAATGTTGTTCCAGAGCTTAGCTGAGATTCCGGAGTTCATTGAGATTTTGATGATCAGGTCGTCATGTACTTTTAGATTGCATTACACTAGTTCGTCATGGCATAAGAACATTACAATAGAAACTAGCTTTCGTTTTTTTTTCTAATTTAAATCTCTGAGGAGATCATATGGCTGAATAGGAATTTTACTGAACTGTAATGTTACTCCATGGTGAATTATATATAAACCTCTTTTGAGACGATCATATGGTTTGTTTTTCTTCAACAAGTTCTGATGAAGATGTGTGATCGGGTCGATCGAACACGCATGATCATAATAAAAATAAATTTTCTTTTTTAAACTCTTAAACTTTCTGAATGAGTATGTCTATTCTATCCTATGTATTAACTTCTCTTAAGGGATACCTCGAGTTGAAGAGTTGTGTCTCATCATCGACAAAGACTTGGGAGAAAAATAGGATTTTATAGTGTATTATATTATTTATTATCTTCTTCTCTGCAAAGATTTAGTGTAAAAGACAAAAAGTTAGTTTTTTAATGGTAAATCATGCTAACTACTTTGACTAATGATTTTTATTAAATACAAGAGTCGGTTTATTCTCTCATCGTTCAAAGATATATTGATTCTAAGTATCTTATATCGACAGTCGAATTTATTTAAGCGTAATGAAATAGCTTCGACACTATATTTATAATTATATGTTTACCTTATAATCGTATGATACAACGAAATCTCTCTTCATGAAAAAAAAAAGTTAAATAGGTGATTTGTACGGTTGACTTTAGAATTTTTACGAAACTATGTTTATAATAAAAAAAATCAGTAAACATGAGTTATCTAATTTTTAAAAAAATAATTTTGTCGAAATTATCCTCTACTAAATATTATAGAACATTGGACACATTTATTTCGATGTTTCTTTTACAAAGAATGAACAACTTTTAATTATTATTGTTTTTGAAAAGTTTTGAATTCTCTAATAAAAGAATAAATAGACTATAGTTTTGTTGTATACATAGATTATATATATTTATGGGTGCCAACTCAACATTGCTTTCAAAGCCATAATTTTCATGCTTAATATTATATTTTTATTGTATAGACTAAATAAAATGGGTTAAATTGTAGTACTTAATAGGGTTTGAGAGTAATAATTATTATAATTTAAAAGATAATAATAATATTAATAATTTAAAAAATAATGAATCAAAACCAAAGTTAAAAATAAAACTAATAATAAAGAAAGAATGTGCGACGATAATTTTTGCGAAAAATTGAATTGAATAAATGTCTTATCCACCGAGCATTTAAAGGTAGTTTCTGTCATTCACATGCATGAAAATTCGAACCATCAACTTTTGAGATAGTAATAAGTGTCTTATCTATTGAATTATGTTTTTAGAGTACCGAAATAAATATTTTGAATAGAGTAAAAGAATCAAAGATAAAAAGGTCAAATTCTTTTAACCCATAAAATGACATGGAGATTATTATGAATTTAAAGAACAAATATACACTTACAAGAGATAAATTAAACACTAAAAAAAGGGCAAGAATTTCAGTTGGCAACGCTACCACTGGCTTCCACTTCATCAGCAGAAGGTTCTATATATCTCCAACAAAGCCCAAGAGTGCTACCCATTATGTTCATTATCACAGCTGACATCGCTGCCGGTAATGCCACCATTGCTGAGCTGAAATGTGAGCTCGCCAAAACAACTCCCAATGATGAATTCTGCATCCCAACCTCTATGGATATAGCTCTTCGTTCCCGTTCTCGAAACCCCCCGATACTCGCTGCTACATAACTGCAAAGCAAACAAATCTCGTGTCGATCGACATTATATTACAAACCAACAGTTAAGTTATAACTTCGAGTAACATTTCGAATGATATGCAACTTACCCGACAAAGAAGCCCGCGAAGTGTAAACAAAACACTGAAAGTACGACCATTCCTAACTCTCCTGATAATATACTTCTAATAATCATCCATGGAGATGCATCAGAAGCTAATGAGGCATTAACCATCGATGATTTGAAACGAACGACATTCTCCGAGAAGACACTGATGAACAAAAACACGACTGAGTTTTGATTAAACAATGATCATTTATACATTTAAGAAGCAACGACGAAGTTAATACCTGCAAGCAAGCAGCGACGAAGTTAAGACAGCAACGAGTGGTGCAAATGGTATCACCAATTTCACCAGCTGAGGAAACGCCTTCTGCAAGTAAGAACCTAAGAGAATAGGAGCTACCACCACCTAGCCAAGAACGAACACGATTGCGATCACAAGAATTTTGTTAATAACAAGAACAAGAACATGAACATGGACAGGAACATGAACATGAACATGGACAGGAACATGAACAGGGACAGGAACATGAACATGAACACGAACACGAACACGAACACATGAACAGGAACACGAACATGAACAGGAACAGGAAGGCAAATGAGAACCAAATTTCACCTGAAGGGTGCTGAGAGAGAGCTTTGCAGCATCAACTGGAATGTAAGCTCCTGCTAGTAATTTGGTAAGAAATGGAGTGAGAATTACGGCTCCTAGAGTGGTGCATACTGTCATTACAATAGACAAAGGAACGTCGCCTTGAGCAATTAAGGTTACCTGAAACACTATTTGATTGAAGTAACGGTGAACGGAAAGCTTAAGCAATCAACTTATCTACTTCAATTCTTCATGATACCGTTCATAAAACTTTCCATAATGCTCGATTGAGATGAGTATTTTGAACCCAGATGATTGTAACGGTCCAAGCCCACCGTCAGTAGATATTGTTCTCTTTAGACTTTCCCTTTTGAGTTTCGCCTCAAAATTTTTAATACACGTGTATAGGGAGAGGTTTCACCCTCATAAAGAATATTTCGTTCTCTTCACTAACCGAGGTGGGATCTTACAATCCACCCTTTTGGGGTTCAGGGTCTGGCACTCGTTCCTCTCTCCAACCGATGTAGGACCTCCCAATCTACTCCCTGATCCTCCCCAACGGATGTGGGATCTCACAATCCACCCCTGATCCTCCCCAACGGGTGTGGGATCTCACAATCCACCTCCTTCAAGGCCCAACGTCTGACACTCGTTCCTCTAACCAATCAATGTAGGACCCCCCAATCCATCACCGATCCTCCCAGGGATCTCACAATCCAACCACCCCCC